AGCGAAGCCATATACAACTTATCACCCAAATATCAGGGCTCCCCACCCTTTCTCTCCCCCTCTGCAAAGAAATAAGCTATGACTAGGAATGAGGAAATCTCTGGAACTCTCCCACGTTTCTCCTTCCCGGTTCAGCTTTCCATTGCAACAATTACACTGGTGCATATGAGGAAGACATACGGGGCAATCTGGAGCTCACAAAACCGTTTATTGACTTTACTTTTTAGAGAGTTAAAAATGGAGAGTTGTCTCCATTGTCTGTGTTTTCCCAAATGCAAAGATTTGGTTCTGAGTGAAATATTATTTTAAAAAGCAAAACTCCAGAAATTCTCCATTCAGGGATTAGGAAGGTACCACTACCATCCATGTGATACACAAGCAGTTACTGAACATTTTCTATGTGCCACCAATAAAAATCACATTTAAACAAATCACATTAAATTGTAACCATGAAAGAGGCTTGCTCTTTGGAGGTGTCATTGAGAACCTCCCTTTGGCATTTAGCACACCTGGGTCTAATCCAGAAGTGCACATGAGAGTGTGGACACATCACCTCTCTGGCTGGACTCAGTGACTCTCCTGGAAAGTAAGCACATTGAGACCTTCCTTGTAGTGGGTGTGCGAGACTTAACCAGGGGGTACAGGAATAATGAAGATAGCTAATATTACCTGACAGGTTACCTTATATAAATGCTTCACCTGAATGAGGTCATTTAATCTTCACAAACAACCATAAGAAGAAAAATGGGTTTATTATTTATAATATTCTATTGTTATTTAGAGGCCAAAAAATAAGCTTCAGGATCCATCACCTGGACAATCCCTTAACCACAGGTAACATTTGTGGACTTTGCCAGTTTGTCAAAATAAGTCATTTGTTGTGATTTGTTTTCATCTTAAATAAATGTCCACTTTAGTACTTAATTTTGCAGTCATAATTTGATTATTTTCTTCAAGAGGGTACTTCAATTTGTGTAAACTTCATCCTCTTCTCAAAGCCTAGATCCACCCCTGTTTATGAAATATGAACAGCTCTAGCTTGCAGATGATGAGACTGAGACACAGAGAGGTTAAGTTACTTGCCCAAATACACACAGCCAGTTAGTGGTGGGGCCTATATTTGGACCCACAACATTTTTCCACAAGGATGTCGCACACTGTCACATCATGCAGTCTGGAACATCTTGGCGTACTCCTCATCATAAATGTTAACATTTCTTATTATTTTTACTTAGAATCCTAGCAAATTCTCTGAGACATTATGGACACTAAAATATTTTGGTGGTTATTATCATTTTATAAATTTAAAATTTCTTTTATAATAATAGGAGCACAGCTCTATTCTTATTTAAGGAAATTATTAATTTGTAACATACAAAATATAAGTTCTACAACAGGCTGATTTTATGCTGTAATTTGTAAATTAATGGTTATTTCCTGAAAGAGTCTTTTAAAGCAGTATTATTCTAGTGTAGTCCACAAATCACCTGCATCAGAATAGTCTGGGCTCCACCCAAAACTAATGGATCTATTGATGGGGATGGGACTCAGGAATCTGAAGGATGAAGGAGCTCTCTGAGTGTCTATTTTCACAGGGAAGCTGGAAAACCACTGCCTATAGTAAGTCCCGCTATATGGTTAATATTGCTTTCAGAAGGGGGGGTGGGTAGAGGTAGGGTAGGAAAGAGCTTGAATCTAAGGTGTCATTCATAACATTACCTAGTAAGATAAATGATAAATAAAAATTGCAACACAAGCTAAAATGCAAGCTTAGGTGCAGTAAAAGGCATATACCATACACATTTAATATTTAACATTTATGTATAATTTTGAAGATCATAATTATTAAGAATAAAGGACTAACTATATTGCCAGCTACTAGTCTAAGCTTTAAGCATTTTAATTTTCTTAAACTTCAAAAACATTTTCAATTAAATAATCTCATCCCCATTCGAGAGCTGGGTAAGGAGAGGCTCTTAGACTTTAGGCACCTCTCTAGTTAATGCAGGGCCAGGATTCTGGCTCTGCAGTCATACATATACACAAACACACACAATTTTAAAAATAGAATAGGGGGAAAGGTAAAATTGCAAAGTTTTACAGAACTTGATGTGTTGGAGTTTGTTCTTATTAAGTCATTTTCAAGATGAATAAATAGTGCTACAGTTGAAGACAGCATGAAATCACTAATTTGGGTCAAACCCATGTTATTTCCATGCAGAAAGGTTTAGAGACTGTTAAGCCTACTTGGACTTGCAGATGTTGAAGCTTTAATCCCTCCTCTTAGTTCATAAAGAGAATCTTTGTTTCAGTTCTTCCCACACCCTTCTCTTTCCACATCCCCCCTCCCAAAGTTTCAAGATCTTTACCCTAAATTCCTTCCCTCAGCACTTCCATTGCCTAAGCCTAACAGCAAGAGCCAGCAGTAAGTGCCCACACCCTTCTGGTCACTTTAGGCATGTTAATACACCTATCCTCATAACACTGTTAAAGCCCAATTTAACAGAATTGGAAATTGAGGCACTGAGTTACTTGCCCAGCATCACAGAGCTGTTAAATAACCAAACCAGGAATCATGCCCAGGCAATCTGTCACTCAGGCCATGCCTTTATCCATTTACCAAAATATCTACCCTGTATTGAGTACCCACTGTGTATGGGTCTTTTCTACAAACTAGGAGCTGAAGCCTTACAAGTGTGCTTAAAAGGAGATACATCCTGCTGTGACCAGGCAAAAAGGAAGGCACATAGAGATTAAGCAACTTGTCCAGATCACACAACTGTAAATGACAAAGAAAAAGGCAGCCTTTCTCGCTGCATCTAAAGCCTGCACTTTTCTCCACTGCACCTCGCAGTTTCCTGGAATGTTCACTGGTTATTTTTCCTGACAAACTACAATAGAATGACCATGTCCCCCATTTGCAAATAAGCACATCTGAGAGGCAGAGTCAGCAAGAGAGAGCAATGTGACATGTGGTCAGATCCAGATCTGCTCCTCAAAACAAGGTGTGGGAAAGGAGAGAGAAGGTGTGCCTACTTATCATCTCCCCCCATCCTGAGAAACCATGCTTTAAATTAAGCATTTTAGACATAATTTGAATGATAACGTGTAAGCAGCATAAAGATACATAAATATAAACTTTACTGGGGAACAACCACTTCTCCACATAAGGTCTTCATGTTGATATTTATGTAAGCCTCATTTACACTTTTCAAAGAGCTTTTCTCTTCAAAGACATATTGAGAGTTCATATTTGCAAGGTTTTAGTCACCTGTGGTTAAGACATTTAAAAGACAAATTCTGGGGCCTCCCTTGTGGTGCAAGGGGTTAAGCACTGCACTAAGAAGCATCTGAAGCCTCTGCAGCACGAGTTTGATCCCCGGCCGGCCAGGGAGCAACGCACATGGCAAGGCAGACCTCTCCTGTCATGCCCGCTGCTCCCCTCAGCAGTGTATTTCATCAGTCTGCCTGTTCTGTTCCCCGCTCTGTCTCTGGTGAATCCTCTCACCCTCCTGCGCATCTGGCCTGTACCCAGGCTCTTGTATGCATAAATAAATAAATCTTTAAAAAAATAAAAACTAAAACAAAAATTCTACTTACCCCAAAAATACAAATACACTCATCCTAAGACATACATGTGCCCCCATGTTCACTGCAACATGATTCACAATAACCATGCATAAAGATGAGGCATATACACAATGGCATACTACCCAGCTATCGAATAAAAAGAGATGGAATAGCAAATCTACTATTTGCAACAACATGGATGAACCTAGAGGGCATGATGCTTAGTGAAATAAATCAGGTGGAGAGAGTCAAACACTATGTGATTTTACTCACATGTGGTACTTTAAAAACCAAAACAAATGAATGAACTATGTAAAACAAACAAACTTTAGACTAGAAAATCAAATTAGTGGTTAAAAGAAGGAAGGGGGCAGGGTGTGGGTGGGTAAATAGGGTAATTGGGTTTAATTGTATGGTGAAGGATAGAATTGGACTTTTAGTGGTGAACTTGATGTTGTATATACACATGCTGATTTTCCATGATGTACACTTGAAACTTATCATGTAATGTGATTTCAATTGAAAAAAAATAAACAAAACAAATAAATAGACACAAACTCTGGCACCGAATTAACTAGGGGAAACCAAATCATTTGGTTTAGGGTCCTTTACACTGACAAACCATTGACAAGACCCAAATGCGAAAGTCAGGTTCTCCCAGTTTTCAGATGGAAAAGTCTGAGCTTTGGGAGAGTTTGGAACTTTTTTCAGATTGTCCTTGCTCTTGAAACTCCCAGGAACAACAGTAGCAACACTCCATCCCACACGTGCTTCTTAAAGAAACTTGGGGTTAACTTGGGGTTCAAGCTCGGCAATGAACAACAAAATTAACCAAATAGAAGTCTGCACAGACAACAGGAGGCAATGATTCTGCAGAACTTTGAAATGCCAGACACAGTTCTGGAGGAAACAGCACCATACGGACTCTCCCCATGAGTTATCAATAGACTGGGAAGCTCCCTGGCAGAAGGTTGGGGGAAGGAGATGGGGCGACGCCTCCTTTCCTGGTTTCCAGGACCGATTTAAAGAGGCCTTTCCAGGGGCATCCCTGGTGGCACAAGGGGGTAAGCACCGCACTATGAATCAATCCAACAGCCTCTGCAGCACAAGTTCAATTCTCGGCCGGCCAGGGAGCTACCCACCCCGTGCAGCAGACCTCTCCTCTCCCACCTGCTGCTCCCCTCAGCAGTGTATTTCAGTCCGTCTGCCTGTTCTGTTCCCCACTCTGTCTCTGGTGAATTCTCTCATCTCCCACATCTCTGGTCTGTACCCCAGTTCTTATATGCATAAATAAATAAATCTTTAAAGAAAAAAATAAAGAGGCCTTTCCAGCAGCCACCGGCCCCAAGGAGGACATGGGAAGGCACAGCAGCGCGCAACCCGGGGGGCCCTCCGTTGGTCCCCACCTCTCTCCTCAGATGTCCACTTACTTGCTCCGAAGTGCCATCCCAGCCCCGCGCCTCTTCCACCGACCCAGCGCAGAGCTGCAGCCCCACGCACAGCCCCAGCAGCAGGAGCATGACGGGGCGAGGCGCGGAGGCCACAGCTGGGACGCGCGCAGGGACAGCGCTCCGGGCTCGGCCACGACCGCCGCGCTCCGGGAACAGCGCTCGGAGCTCCGCGGCGGGATGCGCGCGCACAGACGGCGCCGGGGCTCCACTGCTGAAGCTCACTGTCCGCCTCCCCGCGCCCCGGCTCCAGGCCACCTCGAGGGCCCCGCCCCGGGACCGCCCGGCGCAGCGGCCACGGGTTCAAGCCGGGTCCCCGTGGCTCCAGGGAGGAGGCTCCTACTGGCGGGGTCCCAGCTCACCCTCCTGCCGGTCCCTCCCAGCTCTTGCTCTCAGAGCTCGCCCAGACTCCCTGCCCTTACTTTCTTGGCCAGCTTCTTCCAGCGCGTGTGACATCTTGCTCAGGACCAGACTATTCTGTCTGAGCTTCCTATTCCGAGTCCACCTGCCACCAACCACCAACCCCCACAACTCCCAACCCCAATCGACTCTGCCTCTCCTGCATGTTATGTAATTCCTCTTCTAGGTCTTACTTAAATCTTGTCGCAGAGGGACTGCCCCCCCCACACCTGCTAAAAGCCTAGAACTCCCCCTAAAACCTAAAACCAATATGAGGAAACCTTCTTCCTTCTACCCAGAAAACAGCCCTGAAGCTTAGAAGCCAAGATTAAGGGATGTCACTGAGTTATTTGAGGCAGAAAGTGTCCCCTTTGATGCAGTTCGGTACAAAAAGGAGAAAGCTAGAAATAGAACTGTGTGGTAGTATTTCAGGGGTTTTGGTTATTAATGGAGAAAACTTAGGGCATTGTATATGCTAGTTACAAACTGTTGACAGTATTTCCATTTTCTTATAGGGAGGATTTTTTTACCAACCATCCCCACTGGCCACTTACAGTCCAGTAGCCATTGTTTTATTTGGTAGACGCTCAGAAGAGCTGGAGTGGCTTGTTTATTTCATTTCCCAGCAGACAATCTCCTCCAAGACATATTTTGTGTCTGAAATAATTGCATCTAAATCAGTAAGCTGAATAATAACAGTGAGAGGCTGGCAAAAACCCCAATAACCAAGAATAGGAAAACGGTTAATTCAAATAATGGGACATCAGCTGTGGAATCTTATGCAACCAGTAATAATAATCCGGGGGGGGGGCTATGGAAATATGAAAATGTTTACAGTATAATCAAAAAGAAAAAAGGAGATAATATAACATTATCAACAGTATGGTTGTAACCAGGTAAAAATACATATACTTGGAAATAAGAACTGGGGAAAAACCATGAAAACACGTGTGTCAGTTTGTGGTGCTTTCTCTTCTTAAAATATTGTCTTTACCCCCTATGTTTATAGCAGCACTATTTACAATAGCTAAGCTATGGAAACAACCCAAATGCTCAAAAATAGATGACTGGATCAAGAAGATGTGATACATATACATATACACCATGGAATATACACCATGGAATATACACCATGGAATATTACTCAGCATTCAAAAAAGGTAAACTCATGCAATTTGCAGCAACATGGATGGAGCTGGAAGGGATCATGCTCAGCAAAACAAGCCAGAAAGAAAAAGAAAAATACCAGATGGTCTCACTCACAGCCGGAATTTAGAAAACCTAAATAAGGGACCAGGAAAAAGACTAATTATAATAAAGTAAAAATCAAAATCAACAAGCAACTATAACCCAGAGACACACTGGGGGGTGGGGAGAGGGAGGAGAGACTAGGGTCAAAATAAGGGGGGTGGGAATTGTATGGGGAATATAACCAAGATGAAAATGCATTCATTGTGCAAAATGAAAAATGATGTAAAAAATATATAAAATAAAAATATATATAAAAAATAAATTTTGGGAAAAAAATATATTGTCTTTACTCTTGTTGCAGTGCTGTTTCTTCAACACAGATGTTTGGAGAGGGGAGGGGAAAAGTAAATGTGTTGGCACTGCAAAATAAAAGGAAAATCTCTGTCATTAGCAGTTAATCATTTAATAGTCTAATCACTGTCTAATTTAAAAAACATGCAACTAACAGGAAGTAACAGCTGGCTCCACAAGGCTTCTACAACAAAAGCACTGGTTAAAGAGAGCTTTGAAGAAAGTCAAAGGATTTTTATGTGTGGCTCTTTTACAGTCTCACCAGGTGTAATGAATGTATTCTGTCTCCCATGCAGAACTAGAGACTTTGCAATACATAAATCCTGAGTATAGCCTACTCATTTTTTTTTTTTTTTTTTTTTTTTTTTTTGGTGGGACGCTCGCCAGTGGCCAGGAATCGAACTGGCGCTGCAGAGGCTGCGGGCAGCCTCGCAACCCAGCGCTCGACCGCTGAGCCACCAGGGGAGGCCCTACCCTACCCTCATTTTTAACTAAGGAGCATGGTTCAAATCTTCTGAATCAAGTTTTAGCTATTTCTGCCCCCTTCCACCCTTCACCAAGGAAAAAATACCTATTTATGAACTGAAAGTTGAATTTGGACAAAACCAGGTTGTTCAACATGGACAATAACAACTATTATATTCCAGTTTTCCAACAGAGCTGGGAGCACATCTCTGTTTTCCCCTTCCTGTGGAGTTAAGAACAGGAGGGGGCTGTGTGGAGGAATGGATAGCTCGACTTTGGCCCACACTTGGCCATTACCTAGCCACATGACCTGGGAGAGTTTCTGAAGGTCCCAATATTTGCATCTGTAAAAGCCTAGGTTCCTATATGACATCTGGTATCTATCTGACTGAATAGAGGCAGTCTTTTAAGACCATGTATGTACATATAATAAAAAGAAGACTGATAGTTTTCCATTGCATAAGCAATGATTTATATTGGCCTTCTAAATAAGGATGAAAAAATTAACTGCCTCTCCCAGGGGTGTAAGTTACCCCCCCCCCTGTAGCTGCAGGAAGGGTACTGTGCAGGATTTTTATGATTCGAGCAGACAGGGTAAAGGAGAGTCCTGGAGCCCTCAGTGGTTTTTCAGGCTTTTATTGGGATTTACCAGGTACACTGTTGGCAAGGGGTGCCAGGGGGCCGGGAGGCTGGCAGGTCTCCCAGCCCCCAGTAAATCTTCACTCTTTCTGGGCTATCCAGCCTTCTCTTGTGACCTCTGCTTCTCTTTCGCTCTTCTCGCTCTACTGGCATCTATGAGACGCCACCCTTATAAGTCCAGTCTTAGCCTAGGTATACCCACTTATGCATACCCACACCTTACTCCAGGTGTCAGCCATCAGGCATGCATTCAGTACCGCAAGGATCCATCATCAATCCTAAAGGCAGGAGGGCAGAAAAGCCTGATAATTTTATTTACCCTACACCCCCAAACACACATCTATGCTTTGATCCCACATTTCTCGTTTCACCTGTGGGGCAAGCCAATTTCCCAGTTTGAGGCAACAGAACTCCCAGAACCTTTACTGGAAAAGTTCTCAGAGGATCTCTCACCCAATCCCAATTTTTCATGGAGACACCTCAGAGGGCCTGCCCAGGACCACATGCCAATTAGTGATAAATCTCAGGCTTTCATGGATAGAATCTGAGTACAAAGCTCAGCAGCAAGGGCTTCTGTTTGTGTCTGCACTCAGAAGCTGCCCCACTCACTGTGCCAGCTCTTTCTAGGAAATAGCTCCCAAGTAACTGAAGGGTTACAGAAGGATTCCAGAATTTTAGAATCTGTGTTATTAAAGTTATTGGCTTTATCCTGGTCTCCCATCTTACACTGCCAGTGGATGGGCCTGGCACCCGTTAGTCAAGGTTGGCTTTTCCTCTGCCTTAAGTTTATATGCTTCTACCCCCTGGTACCTCTATCCAGCTGCTCTGAGATTCAGTTCCCTCCCCCGCCCCCCCCAACCACTGGGTTTTCCCTTCAGCCACTCCCTCATCCTTTGAGTATCTATAAGGCTTTTGTTCTGTTCTGGGTCTGCTATTTCTCTTCTCCTTGGTCTGCCTCTTTTTATCTACTTACATGGCCTTGTATTTCTCTTGGACCACTGACAACTTTACATAATCACTAAAGTCCCTTACAAGCTTTTCTTTTTTTAATCAAGAGCACTGGGGAAGAAATGGGTTCCTTTTGACTTTGACTTTGGAAATTTCTCAAACACCTTTGATATCTTGGGACCCTAGTTATATGCACTATTCAGCTATTATATTAACCATTGAGTTTTATCTAGAGAGATTTGTGAAAGAAATAGAGAATGCAGGAAATAGAGGAAATAGAGAATGCAGTTTTCTCATTTCTTATGATTGAGGATTTGCTGAATTTGTCAACTATTCAAAAAATGTAACACATATTTTATTTTAATTATCTTTTTGCAGATTTGAGACCCAAATTAGACTGATTTCCTTATAGGCAAGGCTAGTCTCACACTCATTTTTATATCCCTGGACTCTGGTACATGACCTGAAATAAACTAGATATGAGGAAGGGGTGGTGGGTGATTGAAAGCAATCTACCTGCCGGGAGCTATCTTGTGCTAGCCGTGTGTGATATAACAGATCTTTTAGATAAGTTCCGTGACCCAGAAGAAGATATGACACAGATGTGATTATGGAACTAACGAATTTTGAACATTATTTGAGCTCAATTCTGAGATGCTAAGTGAGAGGAAGGTGAGACTGTAAATTGTGAACTGGAAACTTTAGAGAAGGCTCATAAGAAGGAAGTGAAAATCAGATTTTGGGGCCTCCCTGGTGGCACAGGGGTTAAAGTCTCAGCACTATCAAGTTAATGTCAGCCACTGTGGCATGAGTTTGATCTCCACCAGGGAGCTAACCCACATGGTGCAGCAGACCTCTGCTGTCTCACCCACTGTGCCCCTCAGTAGTATATTTCAGTAGTAGATCTACCTGTTTTCTCCCCACTCTGTCTCTGGTGAACCCTCTCACCACCATCTCCAAAACCTCTGGCCTACACCCCAGCTCTTGTATGCATAAATAAATAAAAATAAATCTTTAGAAAAAAAAGAAAGAAAATCAGATTTTGAAAGTCAGAAGGAGATAGAGGAAAGAGACACTATAAGATTGGGAAAGCCTTTGAAATTAGAGAAATAACACATAATGCTGGGGGAAATTTGGTAGTAATCAGTGGAATTTT